GTCAAGGTAATATTAAAAATTAATAAAATAATCATTGATTCATATAATACTAATAGACAGCAGTATGGCTTGAAAGGGCTCGACCAGCCACGGAATTTCATAACCTTTCACCGTTTGTCTAGTGGTCATACTGCTCTATTGCAGAGATTTCTTCTAAAATTGAATATTATTATAGTAACAAGAAATTGGTTTTTACAGATGGTTTGCATTATATGCAATGATTTGACGCACGAAGCTGGAAATTGTTTATTCCCGGCAAGCGTTCGACGGTGCCAAAACTGTACAATGATGATATTCGACGATTCACCGCACGACTGCAAAATGATACAAAGTTGTCATGGATATCGAACGAGTGTACTTGCTGTTGTTCCGCTCCATGAATTCAAAATACGTGAGCTCAATGGCTCAGATATTCATTACTTCGATGTAAAATCTGGCAAGTTTAACCAATTCTTGGCATCCACTCATATTTTGAGCCCAGCAACCTCTGGTGTATTTACAGTCCAACGCACTGACAGATCCAGCGTACTGAAGTACGAATCAACAAAGTTTGTTCAATTCTCGTTCTTCGTTGCAATTCTCCACCAAAGTGGGCCCAAAATCGGACTCCGGGCTTTTGTAACGCGTGACACGGTCGTCTTCGTAAAATGTGACATGGAAATGGATAACAAAAATGGAAAATGCCAACTACCTGATCGATACAAACTGAATACATCGTTTGTTGTGGGCTTTGTCCCACGGAAAAAGGCAATTGAAGTTCAAGTGCGATTCAATGAAACCCAAATTGCGGCCAAATGGAGCTCGGATATTGGTTGGACTGTTTCTGGCTACAATGTTCAACGTCACTTAAATCAGCAACCACAGGTGGGCATGGTGACTTGCCTGAACTGCAACAAGCAACATGACATTGATAAATGTGATATACCCGCTTATACAATGCACTGTCGGTCTTGTTTGGTTGCATCATTTGATGGCTCCCAACACAACAATCCGTGTATGCCGATCAACACGATAAGTGCAATACGATCGGAATTGTTAGCAAACAGTGCACTGACCTTATTTCAGTTGATTTATTCCAAGGATGAGGCTAATTTGCTCTTTTTGAACGATGGCAATTTCTCACAATTGACCCCACGGGTAAAGCTACTATCACCAACAGCTGAAACGCTCATTACTGCCTATGATTCGGAAGGTCGACGGTTCATTGCATTTCAACAGGCCAGTTATAAACGCATTAGCGTTTTGATTGCAATTATGGATCCAAATGGTGTCTGGAGATTGCGTTTCCGTTGCGTTGTGACACCAGTTCATGGGCTTCTAGTCTTCAAGCTAACGAAGACATTGAACATTTTAAACGATCGATTTCTACTACCAGCCGAATTCCAAAATAACACCGTGACCGTCCTCGGCATACAGGCGAACAGTCAGTCGTTTTATGGTGAAATCAAAGTCTATGCTAACACTAATGGCAAAATGTCAACAACAAGATTTGACGGGTACACCGGTCACATTGGCTTTGATATTTCAGATGGAAGCGATCGATGTGTAATTGACGATGTTTTGTTGGGCGGAAAATCAAATTTACCAACCAAAAAATTCAACCACGTCCTAATGGAACGATGTGAAAAGGTGCAGGCCTGTTCAACTTTTCAGGCTCAACGAAAAGTGCCAGAAAAAATGGACGAAAATGAAGACGATGACGACGATATCGACGAAGGATGGACGAGTGAATCGAGCGATTAGAATATAAGTTCATGATTACAACTAAACACACACACTGCATTGTACTTAGAAAACAACAGCAATTTAATTTTCTCGATAACTTTAAACACAAATAACCATAAAATTGTTCCAGTTCAATTTCATATGGTTCGATTTATTTTGGTGTCTTCTAGAATTTAAGTTCATTACTTCAACTAAACACATTGAAACAAACAAATACAATGCGCTGTACTTAGAAAATAACAGCAATTTAATTTTTTCGATAACTTTGAATTAACTTTGTTCATCACTCTAATAAAACTTTAATTGTTCTACACATTCATTTGTTAGACAGAAAGAAAAAGACATTTAATAAAAAAATGTATGAACTAAAGTTGTTTTGAGTGATTTTAAAATAAAATCGAGTAAGTAATTCAGAAGAAAGGAACTCAGAAAAAAACAAACATTGTTTTATTGAATATACATAACAATTCAACAAAAAATGAAAAGAAAACATTCGCGTTAAAAACGTCGCGTAAAATCGGAGGTTTTCGTGCGTTAAAAACGCATAGGAACATCCGATTTCACGCGACGTTTGCACGTTCACTAGGGCATAAGCGTAAAACCGGAGGTTTTCATAGTTTGCACTTATTAAATGTCTTTTTCTTTCTGTCTAACAAATGAATGTGTAGAACAATTAAAGTTTTATTAGAGTGATGAACAAAGTTAATTCAAAGTTATCGAAAAAATTAAATTGCTGTTATTTTCTAAGTACAGCGCATTGTATTTGTTTGTTTCAATGTGTTTAGTTGAAGTAATGAACTTAAATTCTAGAAGACACCAAAATAAATCGAACCATATGAAATTGAACTGGAACAATTTTATGGTTATTTGTGTTTAAAGTTATCGAGAAAATTAAATTGCTGTTGTTTTCTAAGTACAATGCAGTGTGTGTGTTTAGTTGTAATCATGAACTTATATTCTAATCGCTCGATTCACTCGTCCATCCTTCGTCGATATCGTCGTCATCGTCTTCATTTTCGTCCATTTTTTCTGGCACTTTTCGTTGAGCCTGAAAAGTTGAACAGGCCTGCACCTTTTCACATCGTTCCATTAGGACGTGGTTGAATTTTTTGGTTGGTAAATTTGATTTTCCGCCCAACAAAACATCGTCAATTACACATCGATCGCTTCCATCTGAAATATCAAAGCCAATGTGACCGGTGTACCCGTCAAATCTTGTTGTTGACATTTTGCCATTAGTGTTAGCATAGACTTTGATTTCACCATAAAACGACTGACTGTTCGCCTGTATGCCGAGGACGGTCACGGTGTTATTTTGGAATTCGGCTGGTAGTAGAAATCGATCGTTTAAAATGTTCAATGTCTTCGTTAGCTTGAAGACTAGAAGCCCATGAACTGGTGTCACAACGCAACGGAAACGCAATCTCCAGACACCATTTGGATCCATAATTGCAATCAAAACGCTAATGCGTTTATAACTGGCCTGTTGAAATGCAATGAACCGTCGACCTTCCGAATCATAGGCAGTAATGAGCGTTTCAGCTGTTGGTGATAGTAGCTTTACCCGTGGGGTCAATTGTGAGAAATTGCCATCGTTCAAAAAGAGCAAATTAGCCTCATCCTTGGAATAAATCAACTGAAATAAGGTCAGTGCACTGTTTGCTAACAATTCCGATCGTATTGCACTTATCGTGTTGATCGGCATACACGGATTGTTGTGTTGGGAGCCATCAAATGATGCAACCAAACAAGACCGACAGTGCATTGTATAAGCGGGTATATCACATTTATCAATGTCATGTTGCTTGTTGCAGTTCAGGCAAGTCACCATGCCCACCTGTGGTTGCTGATTTAAGTGACGTTGAACATTGTAGCCAGAAACAGTCCAACCAATATCCGAGCTCCATTTGGCCGCAATTTGGGTTTCATTGAATCGCACTTGAACTTCAATTGCCTTTTTCCGTGGGACAAAGCCCACAACAAACGATGTATTCAGTTTGTATCGATCAGGTAGTTGGCATTTTCCATTTTTGTTATCCATTTCCATGTCACATTTTACGAAGACGACCGTGTCACGCGTTACAAAAGCCCGGAGTCCGATTTTGGGCCCACTTTGGTGGAGAATTGCAACGAAGAACGAGAATTGAACAAACTTTGTTGATTCGTACTTCAGTACGCTGGATCTGTCAGTGCGTTGGACTGTAAATACACCAGAGGTTGCTGGGCTCAAAATATGAGTGGATGCCAAGAATTGGTTAAACTTGCCAGATTTTACATCGAAGTAATGAATATCTGAGCCATTGAGCTCACGTATTTTGAATTCATGGAGCGGAACAACAGCAAGTACACTCGTTCGATATCCATGACAACTTTGTATCATTTTGCAGTCGTGCGGTGAATCGTCGAATATCATCATTGTACAGTTTTGGCACCGTCGAACGCTTGCCGGGAATAAACAATTTCCAGCTTCGTGCGTCAAATCATTGCATATAATGCAAACCATCTGTAAAAACCAATTTCTTGTTACTATAATAATATTCAATTTTAGAAGAAATCTCTGCAATAGAGCAGTATGACCACTAGACAAACGGTGAAAGGTTATGAAATTCCGTGGCTGGTCGAGCCCTTTCAAGCCATACTGCTGTCTATTAGTATTATATGAATCAATGATTATTTTATTAATTTTTAATATTACCTTGACACTACTTTTTCACTGCACTGAGTTCAAATCGTTTTATGAACGTTTGTAAAAAAACAATATCGTAAATGTACGTAGAATCAAAATGAACACATCTATACGGTACACAGAACCACATAGAATTTATAATGCGCAATAATGCGTTTTCAAACGTCGTGACAAACACACAAGAGATCGTGACAGATCGAATGTCAAACTTGGTCAAACCATATGAAAACTGATGAAAACCGTTGATGTGCACAGATGATTCTTCTGTATTAACTGATTTATTTTCAAATGATTCTCAATGCACTGTATTCATTTGGAATATTGTGTTTTTCCAATCGGTACACTCCAAAAAAATATTCAACATTATACAATAATAATTTGTGTGGCAATAATATTTTGCCGTTTAGGAATGAACTGTGTGAAGTTGGCTGCAAATGTCATTCATGAGCCTCGTGATATTTAGATTCAATAAATCGCAAACAGAATAACCGCAAAAAAGCATCAGTTTGGCATTGATGTAATATAATCAAAACGTTTTCTACAAAATTATCCATAACATTTATTAATCGATTTTCATAAAGTTATCGAGATGGAGGCCCAGAAAAAGGCAGAAAAAAAGTCAAAGAAAAAGCAAAAGAAAGAGGAAGTGAATCTCTACAAAACAATGATAAATGAACTGTTCGAAAGTTCTGATTTGCAAATAACATTGCCATCAAGTTTAGATTCGTCGCAAAGAAGAGAGCTGGCAGACTATGCGTCAACATTTGTTGGACTTAGACCAAAATTCAGAGGGCATGGTGAGTATTTGCAATAGTTGCGATCGTTTGAGGAAGTTCAGAAAAACTAAATACAATTGTTCTGCAATGACGTTTTCTTTATACGTACAGGCACGTCCCGAACGCTTAGCGTCCATAAAAACAACAAAGTGAATGACAGCACGGTCATAGTTAGCTTAAACGAAAGCGAAGCTGATTCGATTTCAAAGGTGTTGAGCAGCACAGAAGAAAATTTACCACTATCTGATCTACCGACAAGACCACCATGCATTGTAGAGAGCATTGTTGTAACTGTGCCACCAATTCCCATTCCACGTTCTACGCCCAATGCACTTCCGATTCATCAATACCAGGGAGAAATTTTGGAAACAATTCAAAAACATCAAGTCATTATCATTTCGGGCGAAACAGGTATTTTGTAGACTGTTAGTCAGTCTTTTATTTCTTATTTATTCTACCAAAAACTCGAAAATTGTAATGAGGTCTTCATTCATTCATTCATTCATTCATTCCAATGCATTGTTAGGTTCGGGCAAGACAACACAAGTCCCACAGTTTATTTTGGACGACAGTGCAGAAAAAAACAAAGGCTGTCGGATAATGTTGACCCAGCCACGTCGCATGGCGGCAGTATCTGTTGCCAAGCGCATTTCGGACGAGCGAAAAGAGCTGCACGGTTGTACAGTTGGACATCAAATCCGTTTGGACAGCTGCATTCAACCCACGACCAATCTGATTGTCACGACTAGGTAATAAGAATTTAGATCGATTCAATTTTATCAAACGATTTAATTTTCGTGGAAATCTCACTTTCAATTCAATTCAATACTCATTTTTAGCGGGTTTCTGTTAAAGATCCTCTCTAGTCAAGCAGACGGTTACGACAAAGTCACTCATCTAATCATAGATGAAGTGCATGAACATGAAACCAACACGGATATGATTTTAATTTCTGTTAAAGATGCAATCAAAAGGCACACTGCACTGAAAGTCATTCTCATGTCGGCTACGGTAGATGCTGAATAATTCAGCAGCTACTTCAACAACTGTCCGATAGTTGTTGTTCCAGGAAGAACATTTGAAATTAGAACATCGTTCCTCGGCGAAATTTTGGCTGATACCAACTATGAATCCTTCGAAATGACGGCATATATCAATGGACTGCACGTCGACACCAACACAGCTGATATCGAGTTCATCGACGAGGCTTTAGACATTTGTTTGTCTCAGGGAGACGATTCGTCTTTTGAGACGATATTCACACTAATAGCCAGCGGAAAAATGTCAGTCGACTATTTTCATAGCACAAAAGGGCGATCATCACTTGCAATTGCCGCTGAAAAAGGTTTTTACAGTGCACTGACTGAACTGCTGCAAAATTTTAATGCAAATCCATCATTGAGAGATGTAAATGGCAAAACGGCCTTCGACTACGCCGATGAAAATTTCCAAAAGGATTGCTGTGAACTATTGGTAGATGCCATACAACAATTCAAATTAAACGCGTATAACAAGACGAACGAAATTGACGGCCTTGATCATGAGCTACTTAATCATGTGCTCATATCTATTCACACCATGAAGCCAATTGATGGTAGCATACTTGTGTTCTTGCCCGGCTATGACGACATTATGGTGCAAAAAGACATGATCGAGACTCGATTCCACGTGACCAACTATCGACTGTATGTGCTACACAGCGGCGTTAATGGAGCCATCAATGTGGAACAGATGAAAGTGTTTCATCGAATGCCATCTGGCATACGGAAAATCATTCTCTCGACAAATATCGCGGAAACATCGCTTACGATCGAAGATGTGGTGAGTCCTAAATTGACTGAAATGTTCTTTTCTTTGATCACTATGAAAGAACTGAAAATAATCTTATTAATATTTCCAGGTGTATGTCGTCGATTTAGGCAAAATGAAGCAGTTAAGTTACGACCCGTTCGATTCATCAACGTGTTTGGCTACGACCAATATATCAAAAGCATGTGCCCAACAAAGAGCAGGACGAGCAGGTAGAGTTCGAAATGGGTTTTGCTACCGTTTGTATTCGACAGAAACATTTGAAAAATTGGTGGAACATACATTGCCAGAAATTCAACGCATTGCACTGACGGACATTTGTCTCAAAGCAAAGGTTATGTCCGATTCATCAATAGAAGACTTTTTGACAAAAGCCATTCACCCACCGTCTGTGTCAAATATTCGTGAAAGCATTAAGTTGCTGAAAAAAATCGATGCATTGGATGACCAGGAAAATATTACGTGCTTAGGCCAACACTTGGTAAATTTTGGAAATATTTTCTTTTCTTCGCCCAAATATATATATGAAAGTTGTACAATTCCTGTTTCGATACGACATTATTGAGTAATAATATGTAGCCCGTTCTTTCTTCAGATCTTTTGTTATGAACATATGTTAGTTGTTTACATTTTCATAAAATTATCTATCATTTGTTTTGGCTATTTCCGTTTATTTTACCATATTTCTAAGTCTATCTACATTTATTTACTTACTATTTTTCTCAATTTAATAAAAAAATACCTAAATTAAATTTTTCTAGGTCACCATGCCAGTGGATTGTAAGCTGGGCAAAATGCTTTTGTACGCCATTCTTATGCGGTGCTTGGACCCAGTCGTAACAATTGTCAGGTAGAAATGAAATTTGGTTTAAAAAATAATAATAAGGCTCTCAAACCGTTATTTTTTGTCGGTAATTTCCATGTTCACAGTGCACTATCGGTCAAAGAGCCATTCGCATTGCAAACCAAAAGCAGAAAAATGAAAAACGTCGGAAAAGTAAAGGAGGAATTTGCAGAGCATTCATTGAGCGATTTCAAAATGTTGCTGAATGTGTTTGAGGCGTGGTTTACAAGTGAAGGACGAGCAGGTTTCTCCGAAAACAATGGCATTCACCATCAAAACCTGCAAATGATTGCAGGTATACGGAACCTCATAATCAAATATCTCAAAGCAAATTACATAGGGGAGGAGGAGAAGACAATGCACTGTTTGAATGAAAATTCATTGAAATGGCAAGCGGTTAAAGCCTGCATAACAGCAGGTTTATACCGTAAGTCAATACTTTTTACCAGAGCGTGTTTTGAGCTGATGTCAGCAGCACTAACTAACGTCGATCAAATAACATTGAAACGATTGATCGAGCCAATCGTTTTTATACTGCAAATGCGTTGAAACAATGCAACGTATACTCGTCAGCAGCTGAGCTCAGCAGCTGACGTTAGTTAGTGCTGCTGACGTCAGCTCAAAACATGCTCTGCTTTTTACAAGAAGTTTAATTGTTTTCTTGATATCAATTTCTTCAATTCTTTATCGATCAGCCAACGTATGCCGAATCGACAGCATTGAAAAGAGAATATTTTCATCGAAAAACAACAAGCTGGAGCCGCATTTATCATCGGTCACATGTTTCGATGGAGGTGCTCAAGCCCATCCAAACGTATTCAAAGTTGGCGCGGAATGGCTTGTTTATAGTGAAAAGTCGCGCATCTCGAAGTTCACTGTCATTAATCATATCACACTGGTGCCGACTATTGATCTCTTATTGTTCGCTGGGAAGTCAAACATACCTGAACTGCCAACAGCACATGAATATGATGATATCGTCTTCGCCGTCGACGACTGGATACAATGCATTGCTGACCAAAAAGACGCCCAACTTTTGTGGCAACTTCGGTCAAAATTCGGACTAATTTTCAATCGGTTTCTTCGAAACCCACGAAAATTCATTACAAATAACAACGAAGAACAGTTGTTAGAAGTCATCATCAACGTTGTTTTTTCGTCCGACATAATTGAAAAAAAGATTATGATGAATCGAGAAATCTCCATGAGCGAAAATGTTTAAAACTAGCTTTAAAAACGTAGTTCACAATGTATTAGGTCAAAAGCAATGATTATATTCAAATCGCACACAAGTTTGTGTGTAAACAATATATTTTATTTTATTTTACATAGTTTTACATAGTATGACTGTGTAAAGTATTCAAACCAGTAATATTTAAATTCATTTTTCGGCTATATTTTCTTCGTTCGCATCCGTTATCACATTCAATGCATTGTGTAATGGTTTTTGACTCGAATTTTGATTCAAAATTGGTGCAAGATCAGCCTTTGATTCCGATTCTGAAATGGAACAAAAATATTAATTCATTATTGTTTTTTTTTTCAAACAAAAAATGCCAATCATTCATTTGGATTCAGTGGATAAAAAACGGGATTAAATTTACCTATATCTGTGACGAGAATCCCTGACTGCGACAGCATCGGTTCTTCGATTGCATTTTTCGTTGACGCTTGGCTGCTACTCTGATCCACAGCCTCTTCGAAACTTATGAAGTAGCGCTGAAATTTGCTATTTATCCCAATTCCAGCACAAAACGGACATGTTTCCGGCTCTCTCACAAACACTTTCATTTTCTTTTCTCAATGCACTGATTTTTTTATTGTTGTTCTGCACCGTACAGCGTTTCTTCGCCAGAGGTGGTTTCGTATAAATAAATAAATACTTAGCAATAATGAATATTTTTTATTTACAATACTGTCTGTATCATACGGTCTTGTGTGACGTTCAAAATGTCAATTTCAACACACTCGCATCATCACGCTTATACCAAACGTCGCGTAAAAACGCATGAAAACCTCCGGTTTTACGCTTATGCCCTGGTGAACGTGCAAACGTCGCGTAAAATCGGAGGTTCTCGTGTGTTAAAAACGCATGAAAATCTCCGGTTTTACGCTTATGCCCTAGTGAACGTGCAAACGCCGCGCAAAATCGGATGTTGTTATGCGTTTTAAACGCACGAAAACCTCCGGTTTAACGCTTGGTTACGTGAAGTTGGTTTGAAATTTGAATGTTGAGCAAAACCATTCATTGTTTCGAAAAACTTTGAACGGACAAATCGGACAAATAATTCACATCTCAAGTGATTTTATGTCCGCAACACTCGATTCGGGAAAATTAAGTAGATATTTCGGCCAGCAATAAATGTTCCTGGAAACATGTTCGATATCGAAGAGATTTATATCGATGGATCAAAAGGGATTCTCCAGTGCACTGCAACAATTATTGGATTACGAGGCAGACCCATCATTAGAAGATCTACATGGCAAAAATGCATTGAACTATGCAGAGGAGTATCAGCAAGACGATTGCTACGAATCCAGTTACATTAATTTGTAAATAAATTCAAAGATTATTCGATTCATTACCTTTTATTATTTGAATAAAGAAATTTAGAATAGCATTGCATTGTAACTTCATTGTGCCCGAGTCCAATTTGATCGATCAAAGGATAATCAAAGTCAATTTATACTTTAAATTCTTCCCTCCAAAATTGATTATATAGTAAATAATAATAATTGCAACGCATAGATACTCAGAAAAAAAAACAAACATTGTTTTATTGAATATACATAACATTCATTGATTCAACAAAAAATGCGAAGAAATTGTCTGGTAGAATGATATCGCTATGGGCTGACATGGACTTAGTCCAGCTCATTCCATACATGGTTTATTCTATGTTGACCAACTGATTTTGTTGTGTATTGAAAAAATGATGATCTGTAGAACAAAGAAAAAAATCATTAGCTATGTACCAATGGTTGATATAAGAAAAAATCATAACTGCATTTTTGACATTTTTTCTGAAGGGTTTTATTATTTAAGGGAAGGTCGGGTAATTCGGAACACCGTCAAATTTCGCCGCAAATGAATAGCTTGAGACATGTGAACAGATTCAGTGTTATTCAGTTATTTTGATGTGTGTTCTGAATTTTCCCACCTTTCCCTAATTAAATAAACAATGAATTTAGGTATGTAACGGTAATTAAAAGAATGGCGAGCAAAGCGAGAGACTTTTTTCAGCTTTTTCTGCTTTGTCTGACGATGGTACGGGCAATCTCCCGGCTTGCCCGCTGGGTACGCCCTTGCCTAGTGCATACTTGCCAATACTTGAAGTGCATTGCAGTGATCAATTCAATTACTTATACTTACTTGTTTATTGGCCAGCTTGATGTACTCTTTTTTTATTTTTATGGCGTATAAATATTCCTTGCTCCTCTTCCGATATCCTGCTACCAATTTTTTCTGATTTCATCTTCAAATACTCATTAATTACTTTGAAGATGTATCCTTCCTTATGAGTGAATTTGGAAGACTTTGGCGCTGTGTGAAGATCAAAGTCAGATCTCGAATATAGCTCATCTATATCTAAATTGACTAGAATGGTTTTCAATGCATTGTCATACATTTCTCCACACCAATCTACTTCTACCAAAATGTCTAAAATTTTATTGCTGGCTTTAATGATATTAACGGTGCTTTTGCATGGTATATGACAATGCGATGTAGAATTTTTTCGTTTGATAAAATCATTTTCAACTTTCTCGTTCTCCAAAAAAACTGCGATGCAATCGTAGCATTCTTTCTGGCGACATCGTTTAATTGTGTTTGTGATTTTGGTTTCAATGGTGCTTGCTATAAATGCTTGTAAATGTTCATCGAATTTTTCTATATCCTCCTCTACAGCATCAAAATAATTGAAATCTATTTCGAACGACCTTCCTCGTTCCATTGCATTGACTAGTGTATGGGCCATGTTATGTGTAGTAATATTGTTTCGTTGTTTTTCAGATGACACTGTCAATATGCCAGTATCATTCGACATGCAATTTCCGTAATTGTTTTTGTATACAATTTCTTTGCATACTAAAAGCTTACGATATATCGCTTTAAATTCGGAAGCAGATGGATTATCGTTGTAGCCTGTGAAGTGAACATCAACATTTGATGGGTAATAAAGAACATGCGACTTTCTTCGCTCGATACACAGATACGATACAAATCATTTGAAAAAAAGTCAACTTACCCAATCTACTTCGGACAGCTGAAAACCAAGTTTCCAAATGGTCTTGGCAAAATTGGAACGTGTGCAATTCATCTAAGGGACCGTTTAAAACATAGTCTGTATACATTTCTTGAAAAGCAGTCATATTATGAACAAATCCGAAGAATGCTGTCTGATTTCTTGATTTAATGGCCAATTTTCTAACACTGTACTTTATTTTCTCTTTTTTCCCGTTTTTTCCTTGCAATTTCCGTGTATAAGTTTCATCGATTTCAATGCGTTGAAAGAATTCTTTTGCTTCCGCAAAATATTCAAAAAACTCATTTGCAGTTGATGAATTCAATGGCCTTTTAAAATTCTCACCGGCTCCACTTAAAGTTGGTTTGTAGTTGGAAACATCAAACACATTGTTACAATAACGAATATATTGTGTAGTTGTTTCAGAATTTTCAAATTCGTCATAACCATCGTAGCAAAGCTGATCAATACAATCGGCTACACTGTTGCTAATTGTTTCACAAGCGGTTCGCACGTGCATAGGCCTCAGATGAAAATTTAAGTGCCTATCGGATAGTTTATTTCCAAAATTTATGTTTCGCTCTTGTTGTATCTTATGAAGATTCGCGATAAAGTGCCAATGCATTGCAGTTCCATTGTAATAAAGTTGATGATATTTTAAGCAACCCCTTGCTAATTTCAACATATGCGGATTGTCCCATATAACATAAATTTTGTCGTTTGAGTTCGTCGGGCTTAAAAAATATGGCTTATTATTTTCAAAATCTGCTCCCAGCTCTTTTGTCATAGCAATGTTTGATATTAGACCATCCTGAAAGAGTGGGTACATATAGTAAAACGATGCATTGAAAGGTAGAACACTTTCGAATGTTCTTTATTTACCTGCGTAAGAGATATCACGCGAGCACCAGTATTATTGACACTTTTTATAGTAAGTTGTGTTAATGCAGCTCTTCCAAGGGCATTCAAACCGGTGAGAAGAAAATATGCCATCGATATTTTGAAGTCCGCTCCAACTGCCATGAAAACTAATGCGTTTTTGGCAACAGGTAGTCCCTTATTTTTTTGCTTTTTCTTATTTTCTTCGTCTCTGCAAGTGATAAAACCACTAAATTTATGCTCTGCTTCAACCCACTCAATTTTCTTTTTTATTGAAACTTCATCGGATATCATCGCTATCAATAATTCCTTTCCCTGTGCTTCATATTCCTTCGCTTTAATCTCCAATGTGTTAAGAGCTTCAGCTGTAACACCCGGTGATGCATCAATCGAGCTGAGCCATGCCCGCATCGTTCTGGGATGTGGCAAATTGTTCTTGAAGACAGATCTTACGTATCTATATGCATTTGGTGAATAGTACGATAGAGCCATGCAAAACTGCCGAATATTTTCGGAATATTTTTTGTCTTGCTTTCCATTTCCTAAACAGAACAATATCTCAGATGCAAAATCCATCTCCTTAAAAGAAATGAAAATAATAGTTTTTGTGATGCATTGAGTTCTAGAAGACACCACTGGAAAATTCTCCACCGTATTCTCGGGAAAATCCGATTGAGAACAATGCATTGAGTCCACTCACCTCTGAACATTTCTGTGACTTTCGATTCTTTAATTCTTTCAATTCATCTGACTTCTGGCGTAAAATTTGATTCAATTTTGCAATTGCGTCATTGGCTTTTTGTAATTTGACGGTGTCATCTAACAGCTGTTTGTACACTCTCTTTGGAATATTTATCATTTCTTCATTACTGTAAAAAAAACCTTGTTTAATATTTTTTTCAAATATTCGAGCAATTCAAGATAAAAAAAATTACTAATTGTCATCGTTGAAAATGTTCAATTCATCAAACATCGATTCCATTACAATCATTTCTTCATGGTGTGAGCTTGAAATTTGTTCATCAGCTACATCAACTGATGTTGAAAAAAAGATCATTGGAAAGATAATAAATTTATATTTCACTGATACGCATTTTTCATACACCAATTCATACCTCTTGCGGGAATACTGGAAATTTCATTTCTGTCTGTGTCCAAATTACAAATCTTTGGTAAGGCACCAGGCACCAAAGCGTTTCTCTCTCCTTGTTTGATAATATCTTGAGAGTTGAAATGAAGGTCACACACTACAATGCGTGTCGAAGGTAACTCTTGCCCGGTGGGATATGAAGTTTGAATTATTTTCATCCATTCATTTTTGCTTTTTGTTGGAACTCTACAATTGAATATTTAAAAAAAATTTAACATTGCATTGAAATTTCTTAATTCTTTAAATTAATAATTGGGTTATATTACTTGAAAAATATCCTTTTAGTTTTAACTTGCGATTGGCAACCGAAAACCTTACAATAAGGCATATCGGTTTATCAGTTTTCCTATATTTTAAATTTAAATTTTACTCAATTCCAATTCAGAACTAATATGCTTCTATTTTATTTCCCTAAAATTTCTGCACTCACAAAAACTACCAGAAATACACAAAGATTATTAACGCGCGCAACTGAAAATATCAATGAAATACTGTGACATATTGATATATTCAAACGTCGTGTAAAACGAATTGAGATAGAAAGAGAAGAGAAGAATAGTCTCATCAATAATTTAACCGTTAGACACATTGTCAAGTGTTCTTTGTTGTCCCATTCTAATCTGTTCCACTTGCGTTATATACATAAGGCAACACACACACACAACGCTCGATTTACACACAGTTGTTCTTGTGCGTGCTTACATGCAAGTGGCTACTGTGATCTATTTTTTGGCGCAAAGACTTGTGCAAAAAAACTCAGTTTGACGCTCAAAACATTTGTTTATCTTTTATCGAATTTACCATGGATTTACCTCAACTATTCAAGAAATTTGATATTCGTCGGTGCACTGTATTATTACCACGTATAAACATTGATCAATATCGAAATATTAAAGGTTTGTTTCAAAAATAAATAAATATCACTAGTTGAATTGTTCATTCCCGAAAGTCATTAAAACTAAACATAATTCAATTCTATTTATTGCAGAATGCAGAATAATTCTATCCAATAGCGAAACCGAAGAAATCATGCGTAAATTGGCGGAAAAATGTGCAAAGTCCAAGCAAAAGAAGACCGTTCGATCCATGGTTGTTTGGTTGCCAAAAGAAACCGAATTTCAAATCCCATCATTAGAAAAAGTTCTACCAAAGTAATGAGACTAATATACACACAACGCATTGAAGGAAATAAAAACAATATTTAAAACCAAAACGCTGTTTGTTTATTTTTCAGAGAGAAATAACAAAATCCTTAGAATTTTCGCCGTGATATTTACATTTCACTTATTTTGTATAGCATTGCATTGAATTTAAAGAAAAAACTCTGAGATGTTCATTGTATCTTATTAAAAATCAGTCCAACTTCAGTTGAGAAAAGCGTTCAGCCAGTCGTAAAATTGAGACATCAATTGGCCGATAAATTGTTGGCAAATTTGGTGATGGGGTCGGCAATGGACGATATCGAATTGGTGTTGAATGGTATACAAAGTTGCGAAAATTGAATCCAAAAGGTTGGCGGAGTGATGACCACTCCATGCGTCCAGCTGAATTTTCACTTCGGTCAGCCATCTTCAATGTTGGTAGAATTTAGGTCCTCGTGTGCCGGTTTTGTTGATAATGCCGACTAACTGAAAAAAAATAACAACATACTACTTTAATTCGGATAACAAAATATTACTCAGTGCGTTGTTTTTCAGATTAAATTTGTTTTTACATATTAAATATAAAAAAATACTAACCAAAGTTCGAGCTAAATGAATAATTGACTGTTTGCTGTTGATGTTGCTGCTGCTACTACTGGCTGCGTTGCTATAACGGTTGATATAAACTCATACAAATTTTAAACCGGACGATTACAATTTTTTTGACATTTCAACGCAGCGTGGAACAACTTGTCGTAATATCGCACAAAGTAGTCAACCCAACAGCATTGCGTTACATCACGTTACATGTACACACAAAGCATAGTCGAAAGCGCCACCATCGTGTTATAGTCACTTGAGTTGAAGTTTCTGTTTGTCGTTGTTTGAATTTCAAAAGAAGGTATCACACTTGCACACACTTGGTCACACTACAGTACATGGAACATTCAAATTAGAAAAAATATAATAATTTTCTTATTGTTTTAGAGGAAGAAAAAATGGAGGAGTTGAAGGAAAAATTCAAATTGAGGCCTTTAAAAGTGAAGCTAGAAAAAATTAAAGATGTTGCTGAATTTTGCAAAGAACGAAACATTGAATTCGTCATGGCGGTGAACGGAAAGCGAAAAAGAAGCGACGACTGTGAAGTTTTACCTGACGCCAAAAAAAGCACATCTCTCTCGAATGTTGAAATTTGTTTCAAATGTGGAAAATATGCAAATTCTGCTGACAATGCACTGCAAAACCATCTGTGTGGTGACTTAATAGATGAGAAAAAAGTAAAAGAGCTACTTGACATGTTGACGGCTATGTTGCCTTGCCGTGCACCAACTATTGCGCCGCTACTGCCGCCGCCACCACCGCCGCCACCGGCATTGTCGATTCCACTTCAAGTAAAACTTGTCAAAGGGAAATTTAAAAAAAACAAACAACAAGTGTCGCTGTTGAACGAATTGAATGGAGTATTGCTGGCGTAAGTTTCATTTTTCTTCTTCTATTTCTAAGTTCCATGTATAGTTTCTAATATTTTCAGTGCATTGAATTAAATTTTAATCAATCTTTTTAGATTAAAAAACCAGCCATCCACATCAAATGGTGAAGGAAATCTTATTAGATCTTCGGCCTCAGAGGTCAATAATACATCGGCCAAACCCGCCCCGAATAAAATGAAAAAGTCAATGAATTTGCATGAGGCTATGCAAAATAGACGTCAGTACGTTGAAGACAACGCCGAAAAGGCTGCTCATTCGGCTCCAACTGAACCAGAAATGCAATGCAATGATGACAGTTCGAACGATATGCGGGATGCTTTGAAGTAAGTTAACTATACACATATTCTAACTCTGGAGATTATTTTGAATATTATTGGATTAATATTTACAGGGAAAGGCGCAAATGTGTCGGAGATTCTTCAGACGATGACAATGACGATGAATGGAAGTGATGAACGTTTACAAGAAAATACCTATTTATTGCCGCTATACTGCGCTATACATATATGTGTAAGGATCAATGGGTATTACCATATCCAAAGAATTTCAATTGGTCAACAACTGCAAGGATACTCACAATATAGAATAAGGCCATGATGACACCAATATTTTTGACAGATGCAGTGTCATCGCGAAAACATTTTTTTTAAATAAAAAATAATAAAATAAACAAGCGATTTTAAGTAAATATAATTTTTTATAGAATGTTTTTAATTGAGTTTTCAATGCACTGCAAGAAAAATACTTGTATTTTTACGGGGGAAAATTGTACATTCATATGTATGATAGTGAGCACCAAGTTCGGTAGTATTACTTTTCAACAATATTACCATTGGAAACTGATAAATTGTGAAATTTGTTGAAACAATCTCTTTTTTTTAAACATAAATGCACGTTGCATTTAGTGCATATCTTATTGGTTTTATAATGACACCCTGGCAATTTACACCATAACTCCCTATTCGATATACCTATATTATGGTCTATATTGTCATAACGTATAATATTGGGTGGTATTCTTTCTTTAGGAGCTTGTTTGCGTTTTGGCTTAATTAGGCTGTTTTGTCCTCCCAATGAATATTCAATGCACTGTGTTTCCGAAACCAATCCGGTTAATAGCGGCCGTTGTCTTGATGTGGATGGTTGTGATAGGTCACTAGGGGCTGATGACGTCAATTGCGTTTGTTTATCAACCTGTAATCAATGATAATCTCAGATCTAAGTTTCAAGATTATAAAACTCCCGATACTGCACTGAAATGAATTCTCTTACCGGCCACTGCACGTATGGGTGATCATGTGATAATAGGTGTAATGCCTCCATATTGGACTCCATAGAGTCGTCTAAATCATTCGCATTTGAATACCTTTCGTCTCCTCCATCGTATACCAAAGGTATATTATCCATTGAACAAGTAGATGTTGTTGACTGAATGTTTGTGTTTCTATAAATCAACATGCATCGAATAATAGCTCTATCTACATAAAGATTTGTTGAAGCACGTCACAAATTTATTGGAAACGTACCTTATGTTCATGTATTCAGCTGCTGTGTTGACATTGGAATCTCCCAATGAATAAAATTCAATGCGTTGATCTTCATTCAAGAGCTCATCTGATTTCATTTTAAAAATTTGTTGCTGTTCCTGTTCATGCTCATGTTCATTTCTTAGCTGACGTGCTTTGAGATTTTTCCATGCAACTAACACTATTAAAAACATTGTAATATTAATCATTATCTTTATAATTAGTGAATATATTCATTTTTATGGTGTTGCTAGCAACTTGCCTTTTCCGACAAATATGAATTTAATAAACAATGCACTGCGTTGGCGAGTATAAAATTTTTTACTGGCTTCTTCTGCTATTTTTTTTGCGGCTAATTCATCCAAATTAAGTAAAAAATCGACGAAGTGTGCAGATTTAGAACGGAAAAAGGCTTGACTTTGTCCAAATTTAAACGAAGTTCTTTCACAACCTACTATATTCAGAACATCTTGGCATAAATCTTTAATATAATGCTTTGCTTTGTTGGAAATATGTGGCTCGATCTTTGTAACAAGTTGTTTATATGGCAATTTAGTTACATATCCATAACGCACCAAGTTTGCAATCGGCACAGCTCCAATTGTATTCAATTGAGTTGAAACAAAACGTTCATCAAATTTGTTAGGTAATTTTCCATTATTCGGTTTTATACAATGAATGAAGTGCGAGTCCTTAAGGCAAAAAGTCATTTAATTAAAACATAGGTAGTTAGGCAATGCATTGAAAGAAAGTGAAATTCTTATTTAAAAAGATAATTACATTTTTATCAAGTGTTTCCATCAATGCAGCTAAATCTCTCTTTATGGTTGACATAGCTGATTTTGATCTGGTTGTGCAGTGCATTGGTTTCATCTCAAAGTCACGTATATATTTATCAATGCATGCATGAACATCTATTGAGACAGTTTCTGTATTCTTTTCAACGAAATGTTCCTATGAAATAAAAAAAGGAATATTATTAACGTTTCTAGTACAGAAGGATAGGAAAATTATTTATGTTTACCGATGAATAGCAAACATCCTCAGAATAGTGATGAATTATAAAGCTATAATTCAGTAGATTTTCCGTTTTCACTTTTGAAAGATTTTTTGAAGTTGGTTTCGGTAAACTGAACGATTTTTTGTTTGAACAAGTTACACCGATTGTCTTCATAAAATTGATAGCTGTTGGGGATCGTTTTTTGCTTTCGTCTTCTAGCAATATAAATATTTCATCCATGACATCTGAAATTATAACGATGCAATGGCAAATTAACTGTAATTAAGTAATTGGATAATCAAAGATTAACATGTTTCATTTTTTCATTACCAATAACATTTTGGTTATCTAAAAAATCAATTTGTGGAATGTCAATCGCTTCCATCTTGTACCACTCCATTTCATCTGTGATTAATCGTTTTGTAGAAAATTTGCGAATTTTTTCATTTATGAAATTAATACAAATTTGCTCAAAGGAGTTTAAGCCAATACCAAAACATTCTAAAAATATAACAGTTCATAATATAACTAGTAAAATCTGAATTGAATGAATTTTTTCTTTCATTATAAAAAGCAATTTGAAATAACATACCGAAGCCCGCAATGTCTAAAATTGCGATGCATTGCTGAGATTCTACGGGCGTTCCATTGATTGTTTCGACCAAAGATCGGAATAGTTCACTATAAATAATTTTTATTAACGAATCTCTCGTTCTCATGGCTGAGAGTTGGTCAAATTGTATTCTAGAAAATAAAAACAAAAAAATAGTTTGAACAAAGAAAAACGGTGCATTGTGGATTCTCCATACAAAACTGAATCTTTTCGATTAGATGAAATAGTAATAGTTTGCTGCAAAAGTACTCGTTCCAACTCATTTAAATCTATTTTCAACAGATCAGCAGCATATTGAATAGATCGTTTTGAATCATCATTTGCATTGATTTGCGCAAAACCTTCATCATTCGTACTGAAAGTTACATTACCCAAATGTAAGATGGAAGCAAGTATGGCATATATTGATGGTCGCATATTTGATATCTGAGTTCCCAATCCATCTAATGCACAATCTAATGCACCAAAGTTGTTTTCAGAATCTGTGCACATTTCCTTCAATGGTAACAGCTTTAAAAGATTTGTCAATATGTCATTCAACAATGGTATGTTCTTATTTGCAGTGCATTGAACTTACCGCAAAATTTCTGTTTGTGATTTTCAGCTTTTTTTTTAAATCCGTTGGTGCATTGAGTAATAAATAGAACACATTGAAATTTGTACCCAAGGTATTACCGTTCATCGATAAACGACTTTTTTCAAAAAGTTGATATGAAATTTGAATGTTATTAGCTTTATTTTCGGGATGCAACTGAAAATCAGGTATTTTCAAAGATTGTTAAATACAGAATATTTTCGAATAATAGAAAAAAAGAGATACACACCTTCAAAAATTTAATGAATCGTGAACTATTGTAGTTTTGTGTGGTTTCACAATTGCCAAAAGCATCCAAAACTGTGTTGATTTGTTTGGCATACTTAGGTACATTTCTTCCGAACAAAAATTGTGTTAGATAATTTGCCGTAACACTTTTGCCAGAACCAGATACTCCGGTTATAACGATGCATTGAGGCTTTTTTTTTAATTTTAAATCTCTTAGCGCATTGATTCCTTAAATGAGAAACAGTGTAAAGATTGAATTTAGAATATTTATATAACTTAAATTTTTCTTTACCGATGGAAAAGATGTGAGGTGGTTGCATTTGACATTCTTGATATTTTGATACCACATCATCCGAATACAAGGGCACAGTTTGGAAAGGATTCAGCGCAATCAACAGATTTCCAGTAAATGTCTGAATTACATAGAATTAAACAAATTTATCATTATGTGAAATTTAATAACCTTAAGTAACACAATCAAACACAATGCAATGGGATTAGAAAACATACATAAATTTTTTTGTTCATGAACCGTATTTCCAAGTTACGAAGTATAGCCGTTTGATCACAAATTTCTAGGTCGCCTATTGAAAAAATTACCATTTAAACATTATGTTTTCGTAAAATCATTGAATTTAATCATACAATTGTCATCACAATCAGGAAACATTTTTATTCTTTTCTCTTATACTACACTTCAGATGTCAACACAGAGTCAAATTTTGAGGTTGTGTTCACAAACGATACTTTTTCAAACATTCAAACATGATATTTTTCCGATAGGGACAATCGACGAAATGTCAAAGTGATTGCCCGGCTTTCATTACAGCCATGCTTTGCTTGTGAAACAGTAAATTTATTGAAATTATCCACATTTGCAATTGAATGGAATCGAAGTTTCTGGGTTTTGATGACATCACTTCGACAAATTCACTCAAAACTCAATGCGAAATCAGAACACTTTTTTGTGGATATTTGACCACAGAATTGAATCATTTTCACTTTGAAACTAAATAAAAAGCAATAAATTTCACTACAATTATTTCGTTGACCACCAAAATATCCTGAAAGCATGAAAAACACACATAAAATTCACGTTATTTCGCTAGATCAATCCACTCAATCAAAACAATGAATTTTCAGTAGAGATGTCAAAACAAATTGCGAAACATGCTTGACATTTCATTACATTGACACACACACACACAAACGAGTGCGGAATACGGAATACCGCAAACATTCAGCAAATGAAATACGGCGGAATATCTTAACCGCCTGAATTTGATTTGATATTTTAGTATTTTAGTTTCTAAAGTTCAGATTTATATTGAAATGTTGAGTACACAAATGATTAAATCGTGAGAATACTCATGATGTAAAAACTTCATTCATTTCCAATGAAACATTTTGTTTTATTTAAACGATATTTTATTTTTATCGAAGCCAATGCTTCAAGTCACAATCACAGAATGACACATTCTCACACATTTGTACAATGATTCTTGACTTCGGGAAATAATTCGCATTTTATTTTTTTCTTATCATTACACATTAAAACGGGACTGAGAAGAATTTCTTATTGAATAATCGAACACGATACGATAAATGTGAATGGATTTCTTACATAACACACACTAGCAAAAATGAATTCAAACAAAAATATTTATTTGTCTTGCTTATGTTTAGCTTGCATGAAATTCGTTGAAAACTTCTTCTGGCATATTTCACAGAATAATCCATCAGTTGGATTCTCGTGTTTCATCCGATGCAATTCAAGTAGGTCTTTTGAGGGGAATTTTTTCATGCATGATTGACATTGGAATGGCCTTTTTATGAGTTTCTTCATGTCTTACAATTCGGTCTTTGCAGTCAGTGCTGTATTCACAGTGATCACATGCGAATTTCTTTTTGCCATTCGGCGCCGTGCTTGTTGACATTGATGTTTCATTCGGTGTCGTCATATCGGTTCAAGTTTCGATGGATTCGATTTTGTCATCGTTTTGGTTCGATGTGACACTTGCTCTGGCTGCCAATTTCGCTGGTGAAACATCTTTTGTTGTCAAAATATCTGATTGCAGTTTGCTTGGTTCAGTCGAAGCGGTAGCTAAAGTCAAAACAGTTTTTGGAGCTAAATGTGGTATGGGAGAGGATGTAGGAGAAATCGACAACGTAATGCCTGATGAGACAGGAGTAGAAGAAAGATCACGATTGCCAATCTATGCTATTGAAGGTTGCGCTGGTTTGGTGGGAACGGGCAATGGAGCTGAAGTTTGTGTCAAGATTCGATTTTGTACTGCTTTCTTTTGCTCGGCCAAAGTCCGATCAGCGGATGATTTTGCGGCGATCTGATTTCCATTGTCAATTCGTGTTGAAGTGAGAACAATTCGTCGGTAGTCTATTGATTTGGCCGATTTTGATTCAATCGACCTAAAGAAACATAGAAGGAATTTTATTGCAGATATTGGAGAATAAAAATAAAGTCTTATTGAATGAGTTGTTTACAAAACTCTCAATATGTATACAAATACTTTGTCATACAAATCGGTCCCTCCATCCGAGATCTCAAACGTTTCTTCATCGCTTGTGTCGCTTAAAATTTCTCCGCTTTTTCGCACCGAGGTCCTTTGATCAGACATTTTTGGTTGCCTCTTGACTCTTTCTTTTCGGCGATCGAACCACTTTCCAAAAATGGTTGTATCCAGTTGATAGTTTCCAATCTGCAAATGAAGCGATCGCATCGTCCTTTGCCCTTAATTTCCATTCACCGTTCAGTCTCTTTAACTCCAAATGCAGCATATATTCGTCGTACACTTTGTTCACGCTATACGCTGCCAATGAAAAAAGAAATTGATTCAACTTAAGAGACAGCAATTAAATGTCATCGAGTCACTCTCAATTGAGATGGCAGTGACTAAAATGTCTGCAACACATGGATTTTGTTGAAAATTTCCACGTAAAGCGAACCGTCTTTTTATGAAGCTCAAACATTCTCCACGAAGATTGTAGTCGAATGGCGAATTTGAATGCTTCAATTTGAAGTCGTCATTAATGCTGCTCGGTGTGAGTTCGGTTCCACTTTCAATGTTTGATATCAAAACAAAAATCGCATCAATCCATTCTCCCATTTTGATGATAAAAGCAGTCGTTCTCGGCACCGAATAAACACTATCGAAAGAATGAACGTTTGTGTCAATTTATT